AACAAAGAAGCAATCAAACATTTGCAAAAGTAAAATTTTCATGTCTGCCTGTAGCCTAAGATTCAATTTCAACTGGAAATGTGTACTGAGTCCTCAAACAAAATGAAGTCAAGAATATTGGAAAAATAAAAAAAAAAAAGGTACAAAAAATTTTAATTTGACTTGTTAATATTGTTATACTAAAATTTATTTAATTTTTGATTGATTCCAAAAGTTTAGGATTTATTGTATATAATCCTAGTCAAAATTTACTAATACCGAAAACTAATTACAAATTATCATCATAACAATTAGTTATAATTAAAAAATATCGAAACATTAAAAGTAAACAAATAATAATTTCCTTCGAACATGTTCGATTCATGTTTTTGATTTCATACATGTTGCAACCGTATATTATTTTATTATAAAAATACCACTTGGATTTGTAACTATCCTTTATGGTTTTTGGAAACTATTCCATGAGATTCGATTTTCTTATATTCGATAGTTTGTTTTGATTATTATTCAAAAATAAATTTAATAAAAATCATATTGAATCTTATTATTTATTTATTATTAAAATCTACTGTCTCTACCTGTTTCTACCATAAAAATATCGAATTTTTCTTAATTAATTATAGTTTTATTAATAAAATCTTAAATTCAATTTGTATAATTTTATTAACAGAGTCTGCTACTACCCAAAATATACCCTATAATTAGTAATTAATAGTTTATAGTTCAGGATAATTTAAAAATTTAATAAAAAAAAATACAACCTTGGAAATTTTAAACTTATGTAGACCAAAATTATCAAAAATTAAAACTAAATTCGTTTAATCTCAAATTCTTATACATTGTATTTATGTTATGTATAGTTGCCTTATAGCTTAAGATTATAATTTCCAATAACTACAAATTAATCATCATGTATTAACCTAGTTGTAAAAATACAAAAATGGAATTAATTTATAATAATGTTTACATACTTTTATTTTTAGTAAACATAAACAATTTTGTTGAATTTCAAATTTATACAAAAATTTACAAATATTATGGTTTACAAATATTATGGTGCATGATTTCCAACGCATAATTTCATTTCTGTCATTTGAAAAGAACTTTTTGGTTTAACATGAACAAATGGCACGTATAAGTTACACATACCTACATCTACATTTACGTATGTACAAATGAGCCACTTAAATGAGCAAATTTACACATAGATCTTGTAGAATTTAACCAATTTAACTACTGTAAAATCCAAGTTTTTTTTTTTATGATCCGGTTAAAATCATTTGATTTGTTTAACTATATTTTGATAATAACGGTAATTTTTTTTTCTATTTTTTATTGTTTTAATTTTTTTATTTTTAATATATGGTTGGTACACATGTGTCATACTTATAAAGTGTGCACTTACAATTTAAATTGAATCCATTTTTGTAAAATGTTATTAAAAAAAAAAAGTACCACATAAAAGAATGAAAACAGAAATTGGTGTTTGTTGAGGCTGTTTTGTTTAACATCAAAAAGTCGATCATTAATATCCGTTACCATTTACATGCAAGTGTACATACAAACGAATATACATATATATATTTAATTTTTTTATGACTGTATTAACACAGCATATATAAAGCGTATATTAAACCTGTTATTCCATTTGTGCTTGTATTAAAAAATCATTTACATCTTTTTTTATTTCAGCATTTATTCGCACAATTAAGATTAAAATTAAGATTAAAATCAATTACAATTCAATTCCGATCTAATTTGAATATAGTAATTTTTTTTTTTGTAAACCAACTTCAACTAAATTTTAAATAGTTAACCTTTAAAAGTCTTTTTAGATTTAAGGCAGTTCTAATAGTTCATAATTGACTCTGTATAAAATTATTAAATAAAAATTATTAAATGATTTAGTTCATCTGAATTAGAATGATTTTATACAAAATCTATGCATAAATATTGAAAAAGGGTTCCAAAAAAAATAACTTCAATTAGAACTAAAAGCGACATGTACGCAATTTAATTCCATGAATTTACCATTAATGAACACTAACATGTTTGGAAAATGTTTTGCAGTTGTATATGGAAAAAATTTCCATTAAGTTAATATTATTAGTGTAATAGGCACAATACATAATTATAGGCACAATACCAGTGACCTACCGCTTTCAAATAGAAGATTGCATCGTAGCATCTCAATGTAAAAAAAAAACTTAGTAATCATGTTGATTACAGTATAAGGTAAAGTGAAGAAAAATTTGTCAGCAATTTACCTCTGTAGCTCAGTTGGTACAGTGTCCGCCTAGATAATGATAGGTCACAGGTTCCAGTCCATTGACTTAATATTAATATCAAATGTTTCAAAATAGTAGAAGTAAAAATAGGCCCTTCATACTCTTTTCAATAATATTCGTTTACAAAAATCGCCAAATTTTATCTTGAAAACTTGAAATGTCCAAGCGTGTCTCCAAGTAACTTAAACTTCAAACTGAATGACTCTTAATGGCACAAGTAAATCCTAAAATCTTTCAAAATTACTTTATTTGTTAAACATTTTTTGCATCAACCGATTTTACCTACGAGTATAACATATAAGTACTCATATGTGTATATTGTAAATGACGTCTATATTTATAATAAAGACGTTAAAGCAGGTGACATTCCTAATCAAATTCAAATGTGTTAATTATGGTTTATCTATAAATATAAAATATTAAGCGTAAATTAAAGATATTTGTTATACGCCACATAAAAAAAAAAAGATTTACTTTAATTTACAATCATAAATTAGTTGATTATTTTTTGTATTCGATTTTGGATTTCGATTTGCTATTTTCTGAAAAAAAAATTCATAAATTGGTGTATACACACATTTCAGGTGAATAACAGTAAAATAAATAACCAAATATGAAAATGTCATTAACGCTTATAAAATATTATACAATTTAAATGTGCAAATATGTAAAAATGTTATAAATGCATCGTATTAATTTATAGTTTTGGTATTTAAGATATTGAAAATTTCCGACCATAATTATTTACAATTTATTTTTTAATAAAATTTTTTAAAAAATTTTTTGCAAATTGATTTCCCTATTATAGGGAATTAAAATGAAAATTTAAAAAAGAATTTAATTTAAATTTAATTTTAGTGAAATAATTAAATAATTTAAAATGTAATTATTGAATAACCACACGCAAAGATATAAAGAGTAAAAATAAAATTAAAAAATAAATTGATAAATGATTAAGTGTTAGAAAAGAATATAAAATGTTTGATGAGTTTTGTGTATAGGGTAAGATATCGTATAAATTGCAGTTCATACTAGATGATTGTTGTAAGTTGTTAAGCAATAAATATATACAAGAAATTTGACCTCGTCCTCTATTAATGCTGAAAATTTTGCATCACCTAATTTTTTGTGTTTTATTAATTTTTCAAAGTCTGTTCCAGACAGATTAATTTCACATTCTATCCGATTTGTATGTAGGCGAATATTAATACTTTACTCATCTTCCACATACGCAAATTACGTTCCAGACCAATGTTCGTTTTTTATGTAAAATACGTTGCAGACATAAATATTTTCATATTTTATTCAAATTCCTTAAAAACTGCTTTCCAGAGAGGATATTCATAATTTGCACATCTTGTAAACTTCTTTCCATAGACATATACGACTATTCATATTTTGTCCATTTTCCATAAAAATTACAATCCAGACAGACGGGGTTTTTAATATTTTATTCAGTTTTCATAATGAACTGTAAACCATGCTCCAGCTAGACAGACGAATATTTATATTTTATCCAATTTTCATGTAAATTTTGTCCCAGATAGGCCTGATTTTCATATAGTTTGATTCTGATTACAAAGCTATACAGAATCCAAAATTTTAAAATTTCAATCAGAATTTAAAATCGCTTGCCATAATTGCTGGAAAGGAATTATTACCAAAAATACAAAAGAATTAATACTTTTAATGAGCGCCAAAAATATGAAAATATAATTGAGACAAACTTACAAGTATAATAATTATAGTACAAGTATAATAGTTCTTTTGTTAATTTATTACTATGCAGTTTAAAGAAAATTTTTTCTTTATACATGACTAGCTTACTGCACTAATGAGATTTGTCGGCTGGTGAGCATTTTAGTCCAATAATACTTTCCAGCTTTCGTTTATTTTTAGTTCTCATATACAATATTGTTACCAAACTGCAGATTATAATTGTTATTTTCAAGAATTTTTGGAAATCATGAACACATTCAAAGCTTTTATGAAGCTCGCTAAAATCGGGAAATTTTATATAAAGCTTTGGGAACACTCAAAATTTCCATAATAATATTGTCGTTCTACTATGTTCACTTAATTGGAGCGAGCTATTGATTAGTCATTAGATATGAAGTGCATTTGACGTATACCACAAATTGCGCCTGAATCCTTTCCTTTGAGTCACCATATGCACTATAAAATCTCTGCTTATGAATAATTTCACATTCACCCTAAATATTTAAATATATTTTTTGTTGTTTGGAATAAGAAAGTTAAAACAAAATTATTTTTTTATTTTAAAACTTATAATTTTATTTTTCATTTATTTTTTTATATCTTTTTAATTCTAGATAATGAAAAAATGTTTGAAATGACAAGAAAATAACTTTCGTGATGAAATCTATATCATTATATATATATATATATGTATGTGAAAAGAAAACAAATGCTTTTGTGTGTATATGTATGTACGTATGTATGTTCGATGGTATCTTTTATATTATAATATTATTATATGATTGAAATGATTTTAGAAAAATAATTTTCCAATTGATCTTCCACAATTTCAATGAAATTTTTTAATATAAGCAAGTTAAATTATAAATAATAAAAGCAGATGAAAGTCAACAATTAAATTAAAATATGAAAACATATTGAACAAAATGTAAAATAATTATTACAAAATATGCGCAAAAAAAAAAAAAATAATAATATACAATAGTTCAGTTCTAACAAGTTCTAAAATGAAAATTTACTTTTGCATATATACATATACAAATACATATATATATACAAAACAAAAATACATTTATATTTTTTTTTTTAACCATGATAATATGGTCCAATTGGTCCACCATGTACAATTGGTCCAGCATGTAAAACAGGTCCAGCATGTAATACTGGTGCTGGTAATATTGCTTTATGTACTGGTGCAGCAACAACTGCTTTACCAATTGGTTCACGATGTACAACAGCATTAAAACCATTATGTTCATCAGCTGTATATTCAACTGTACGTTTATAACCATCAGCATCAATTAATGTATAAACACCTTGTACATTATCACCATCACGTGATTCTGATTGACTTTTAACATCACCAGTTTCATGATCTTGTACACCATATGTAAAATCATATTTTGCTGGCGCACTATATTCAACTTGTTTAACTAATGCTGGTCCATGATGTAATAATGCTGGTCCATGATGAATTTCTATTGGTATAGCAACAACAATTGATAATGTTGCAAGAAAACTAATAAGCTATAAAGAATGAATATAGAATTTTATATTAATTATTAAGTAGATGAAACAAATTATGAAATTTGCAATCTTTTCACAAAGGATTAAATTAATTTTTGAATTAAACTTTTCAATTAAATTGTCAGATTTGAAAGGAAATATTATTTAATTCGAAAAAGGAATGTTACTCAAATTCACTACAGGTTTGTTAGTTGAATTTCGATTTGAATTTCGCCCGAATTCTCTGACTTTTCTTTGTTAATTATTATTAAAACAATTAATCACAACTTTTTAATCACAAATATTAATTTTCTAATTTAATTTAAAATTTTCACAGAATACAAGTAAAATTTTAATGAAATTTTAGAAAATAATTTAAAAAAAACAAAATACAATACTTTGAAAGCCATTTTCTTTGCCTAAGGAGTTATAGAGTTGATTTTTGAGAGAAAAAAAAAAGTGAATTTAATTTTAACTAAATTAAAATCTAAATTATAACTGTACGATTTTAACAAATTGCAATTTTATTTATATAGGCTGGAAAATTAGCATTTTGAATATTTACCAAAATATTTTCCATTTTTTTGTTTTTTTGCTATTTTGTTGCTAAAATATACAAATTTCAGTAAAATTAAAAGACCATTAAAGAACCCACCCAAATGCATTTGCATTTGCATTTGTAAATACAAAAACAAAAACCACAGCCATCATAGATAAAAAAAAAAAAAAATCAATCCTACTAATCAAATTACTAATGTACTTGCTACTATCCCAAACATATACTCGTATGTCCATATTATATAGATCACCAATAGATCACAAATAGTTTACGCATAATATTTTTCGTGGAAAAACAAATTTTGTACATACATTTAAAAAAAAAACTCAACAAAATAAAATTAAAATTATTCCATATTTTTATTTTTACTTAAATATTATATGAGACCCATAATATGCTCTAGTATTTATGCATAGCTCATATATTATAAATAATTATATAAAACCCATGTACCCATAATATAATGTAATGTAGATGAATATCAAAGTAGCTTATTATACTGGACTCTCATATTTGTTATAGATTCTTATTGCATGCAATTTAAAAATTTGTTTATATGCTCATTGAGTTTTTTTTTTTTCATTTTTTATTAATAATTGTAATGGGTGACCCAAATAAGGTGTTTAAGGCAATAATATTGTAATACAAATTTATTTGTTTAATCCTTCTAATAAGAGTTTGTATATACGATAAAATACTTTGTATGCTGATGACACTAAATTTGACACCTTGAAGACTGTAATTGGGCAGATAGTTTGACTCTTGCATAAATATTTTTTTTTTTATTTTATTATGAACGTTCATACGAACCTCATTTTACCTATAATAAGTTTTCATTAATTTTTTTAAGATGGTTGATGGCAGGTTCTTATTTAAATTTAATACTTTGGAGATAAAAGAGTTTTGTTGCTGCTATTAGACGCAATAAAATATTTTAATTATATCTCGCAAATTATCGAAATCATATATATACAAACCAGTGTAGAAATGCACAATTTCAACACAATTTTTATTAATAGCAAGGCAAAATTATAGGTGGTGTTAATCTGTATTGTAGTTATAATGCGATTATTATCGAATAATTCACTCGTACGCATCACATTCATTCGACACTGCCAATACTTTTGTATAACAAATCATGCAAATAATAGATTCGTATGATAATTCGTGTTACACGTTTACGTGAGTAAAGCATCAGCTGTTTTCCTCTTATTAAAGATCTTTTATTTACGTCATATTTGAATTATGAGAAGTTCTATACAAGTGGAACAGCCTTATTGTATAAAAGTTACGTGATATTAATAGGGAAAACATCTATACTTCTACATTATATCTAATGCATAATTATATTATATGTATACATGATTTTCCATATTAATTTTTTTTTTTCTTTAATGTTATTTGCTTAAATTTTTCTTTGTTTTCAGATCATTGTTAATCAGAATTCATTACAAAAAAAATTCCAGAATTGAAATCTGATTAAATTGCTAAAGTACGTTAAAAAAGAGAGGTGTTTGAAACAAAATTTTGCAATCATGGAAAAATCATAGTGAAGGAACAAGCCACACACACAAAAGGGAATCATTCATTGTTTGTAAACCTGAATTAGAAAATGATAATGTAAGTTATATATGTTTTAATTGAATATATCACACACAAGGAATCACAAAGTTGATAATTTTAAATTATTAGCCAACTCAATTATCACCATTATTGACTAAAATTGATTAAATCATAAACCGAGAAAAATTGTTATCACAAGATACTTTAAAATTAGTTTTGTAAAAACTTAATAACCCTTTACATAAGTACAGTATAAAAATATAAATAAAATTATAACTACATATGTATTGTACATATATATGACAATTTGACAGTGTTTTTCTATTTTTTTTGTTTTTTCGTTTTGAAATATACATGACTTATGTTAATTTTTTTAAAATTAATCTATAAACAGAGTCATTATATATGACACTGATAAAAATTTCAAAGTTCTTAAAATGAAGTGAGGTAAAAGGTGAGAAAATTCTATTAAATTATTTTCAATAATGTTGCCATTACTTATTACACAAATATAATAATTATAATTAAATGCACATACATACATACATATATATTTAAAATTAATATATGATTTGAAATTTGAATATCATTAAATTTCTTGTAGAACCGGATTTCAAAATATTTTTATTTTGGAAAATTTCTCGTTTAATATACGTTTTAAATTAATTATTTTCGTATTTAATTTTCGTATTTAATTTTAAAAATTATAAATAAAATTTTAATATTTTGCTCTTTCAAAAAAAAAAATTTTTTTTTTTTTGAGGTTAATTGGGTATAGGAAGTCTTATAAATTTTGTAAGATTATTGTAATGAAATTAATTTAAAGTTAATCATATTATAGTATTGTGCTCTAATATTATGTAAGTAAGTAAATATATTAATATTTCATACTTAAATGTAATGTTATATTTGAATTATAAATTATAATTCAGATTCAGTGCAAGTAGAAAATAAATGTAAACATAAGTATGAACCCATGAATTTTAGATTTTTTTTTTCAAAGAAACCAGTTTAATGGAAAAATCAAAAAACGAGACATTTTTCATATTATATATGATATCATATACAGAGTATTCCGAATATTTTTATTATACAAATTCATTAGACTCCAGCAACTCTGAATATAATATTCAGACTCATTAAAAAGACACTGAAGTCATTCATTTTGTAAAGCAAGTCAAAAATGATCAACCTTTAAGTTTTTTCTATCATTTTAAAATTTAAATAATTTCTTTCTACTCTACCACACCATTGCACTGAATAATTGTTAATCCCCACAAAGGAAGCAATATTATCTAAGTCTAATATGTTCTACTAAATTAATTTAGTCTTAAAACTAATATTGAATACCATAACGAAAAAATAACAAAATGGTCATGATAATTAACGATTATTAATATTTTGTAAAGAACTAGTTAAACTGAATTAGAAATAAAGAATATTTTATCAATTATAAATGATCTTCGACTGTGACTTATCTAGAACATTATATTTATATAGCTTACACAAGCAAATCAATTGAGTAAAAATTGTACATATTTGGTATATTATTTAGAGTAGAGTTCTGTACAAAATATTTATCTAGAATTTTTCCAAAAATAATTTGAAAAAAAAAAGACGCTTATTAGTTTCACATTAGCCCGTCAGTTCAATCGTCCCTCCTTGTATCCGTGTCTCTGTTTACTAAACTTTTATGCCCTTTAATATAGAAAGCTCAAATGAATTAATACATGAGTTGGTCTTTACTAAAAACTTATTTTCGTAGAAGAAAATTTTTATCCACCTCCCTCCCCTCCCCCACTAAAAGATTATACACTTTAAAAATCCTAAAAACACCATTTATTGACTGTTTATTGTAACAAAACCACATACATTTTTGGAATTCTGCAAATAAGTTTTAGATACTAATGCAAAATGAAGCTAGAAGAAATTTTTATTCCAACTTGATCCCCTCTCAAGATAACGATCCTAAAATTTGTAAAATTTGAATTTTCGGCAGCTTATACTTCTTTAACTGCAAGCCTTTCCTCAATTTCCAGAATTTCTATAAATGCAGAAAGTTAACGGTAAATGTCATGCGCTACCAAAAACTATAATTATTTTTCTTAACTCACTTGCTTAACCGTCCAATTCAACTAATATTTTAATGCTTCTTTGAATTTTTCTTTTTGCTCATCCTAAATGTATGCAATAATTTTATATATAATTTTGGTATAAATAATAAAACTAGATGTAGTAGATTACTTTTACCAACAGCAGTGAAAATATTTTTTGAAGGGAAAGTTTTCCTTCCAAACCATTGGTTTTATACAAATTTATTAAAATGTTCATTGAAACTACACCATTTTCAATTCATGATATTTGATTGAGACACTTTGTATACGCAGGCATATGTACGACGTAATATTATAAAATTGCCTAATTGATTTGAAAAGTTGACAAATTTACCATCTATAACTTGCACGTATATGTATAAAAAAAAAAAAAATTCAACATATTAAAAAAATTTAATAAAAATTTAAAAGAAAAATATCATGTGTAACTTATGGTCTCTATAATTAGGATTTTCACTGGTAAACTTAACGCTAAAATGTAACGCTCTTTTTCTGCGTGTCTTTTGTTTTGATTCTGATTGATATTTTAAAATTTATTAAAAATTTATTTAAAAGTTATTTTTCAAAATTATTTTTTTTTTCTCTATTTTCATTATATTTTCCAATAAATTATTATAGATACCAGATTTACCAGATCTATAAATAAAAAAAAAATATAGAAAAGTGGAAAAAAAATTTAAACCAGTTATTTTTATTTTGAATTCTCAATTTATCACCCTCATCCAAAGTTTAGTTAATGTTTTTAAAATTTTCAAGATTTTCAGGATATGTTGAAATTGTTTTGGTAAATATTTTTCTTTTAGAAATTTTAATGAGTAGGTAAACCAAATTCTTATAGCCATTTTACGTTTTCAAAATTATTACAAATACAATAACTAAATGAAAAATAATTTAAAAAAAAAAATTTTCCCTAAAAATTTAAGAATTTCAATGAAAAAATTTTTGACTAAGTAATTGAATTTTGATGAATTAGTTTCACCACATCATCATTTTTAATTGATCTTATAGCCTAATGGTGTATATTCCTTTTTCATCTTACTTTCTATTCACTTTCTAATTAAAATTTTCCTTTTATCAATTGAATTTTTGCATCTTTACCTCAAAGTTTTGACTGAATCAAATTGTCACTTTCAAAAGTGAAGTGAATAAATAATTAGATTAATCGATCACACTCTTTTCGGATCTACAAAGAATATACGATTCTAATTTTGACAAATTTAATTTTTTTTTGCAGCCTCACTGTAATATGTTTATAG